ATGTGACTGATGGACTCACCAATGGTGCAGAGTGTGTCATAGAAAACATAGACTACAGAGTTGAAAATTCTACCAGACCAAGTATTATCTGGGTCTCTTTTCCACATCCTGACATAGGCAGAGACCAGCGCAGAGAAAATGCACATTTGTACAAGGCAGCTATAGATAGAAATTGGACACCAGTATTGGAAGTAACAAGACAATTTCGAGTCAATAAAAAAAGTCAAGTCCAAAATCTCCGGCGCCAATTTCCGCTTAGACCCGCTGCTGCCAAGACTATTCACCGTTGTCAAGGCGACACATTAAATGAGGCAGTTGTTGATTCTCTAGCATCCACAAGAGAGCACATGCATTATGTTGGCTTGAGCCGTGTACGAAACAGCTCTGCACTGCATGTTCTTAATTTGAATGAAAACAAAATAAAGGTTACTGACAGGGTTAAAAGTGAAATGAGCAGATTAAGAACACAAGCAAGCCTTGTACCTTTAGCAGTGTTACAGACTGACAATTCACTCCAAACAAAAGCAATCTTGTTTCAGAATGTTAGATCTCTCCTCCTCCACATAGATGATGTGCGAAGTGATTACAACATTCAAAAAGCTGATGTCAACATTTTTGTTGAATCAAAACTTTGCTCGTCAGATAGAGATGATACATATCAGCTTGGTGAGTTTACTCTTTACAGAAATGACTTTAGTCAGTCTAACATAAGAACTTGCTATGGAACTGATGTGTACATTAAGAATGATTTAAATGGTGCTAAAATTCCATACAGATGTATCTTTAATAATTTGGAATTACTGTTATGGTTTTAAGCCAACCAATTCCAAATATTCATGTCACTGCTATCTACCGCTCGAAAACTAAAGTTACAATTTCACACTTAATTGATGCTCTTACTCATCTTCGCAACTCGGTATTAATAGAACCTACAATTCCAACTGTACTGCTTGGGGATTTCAATATTGATCTAATGCAGGCAAATACAGAACAAAAAGCTCTAACAAAGTATCATATAACAGACGAAGGATACACTCAGATGATTAACCAGTATACTACTGACTGCCGTACACAGATAGATCATGTTTATACCAATGTACCACAATGTGTACAATCAGTAGGTACCCTGGAGTCTTGCTACAGTGATCATAAGCCTATTTATATTTCCATGAAATCTGTTTGAATATTTGGTAAAAAAATTTCACCATGTGTATCATATGAGATCACTATAATTATGTTTAATTTAGCTGAATATGAAACTTAACATACCAAATAAATATCTAAATGTATCAAGAAACTATTTGAATCACATATAGAAAATAGTCACAAAATTTATTGGCAGAAACAAAGAATGGTTTGGATTTCCTGTACTTTTCATGTTCTTAAATTCCTAGTCCTCATAGAGATTCAAAATTACATGTAACTCTACCAGAATCTGCAGATTCTGTACATACGAATAAATTTTTCAGGTCAAAGAGATTATTTGGCTCCAATGTTCCTTAAGGAAAGCATACCATTTATAACTGGCATTTCCTTTCTTAAACCCTTTCCAGAAAAGCAAGAAATTTCACTTGGACACCACATTTAGGTAAGTAGCTTATTTTTGTTGGGTTTGGGGAGAGGGGAGGGGGGAGGGGAAAGGGCAGCAAATTAAAGTTATACATTTCATGTATCATTTTTCTGCATTCATTTTCATACCCTTTTAAAATATGTGACCATTATCTTTATTGTGTATTGCAGGTGACATCGCGTTGGGGCTTTACGGCGTAGGGGGACGTCCCCCAGGTGGCGGATAGGGAAGCCCTCCCTTTGGTGGGGGGGGGGGGG